ACCGGGTCTTTGAATTGGTTGGGCTGCGGAGCCCATGCCGTCCCCTTTCCCCCCCCCCCCCCCCGTCTGCTCCATTGTCTGGAGTCTCATCCTGCAGCTCAGCTCCATCCTCCCACTCAAGGCTTTCCCCAGTGACACAGCTCTTTGTCTGGGAGGGTTTGGCTCACCAGCTGAGGCCTAAGCTCTTGCTCAGAGGTGTTGGATGGGTAGAGCTGAGGCAGGAAGAGGCTTGTTAATGTGGGAGTCTGCTGCCCTCAGGCAGCCCAGACTCCCTCTGCCCCTCCCTGCTGCTCTGCAGGGCAGCTACCTGCATCACAGCCACCCCCAGTTAGCTTAGTCTTGTGGGCTGTCAAAGCTTCTTCCAAGCACCGACTCTAAGCAGGAGGCTGCCTCGTCCCTGGGATCTGAGCCACGGCTGCAGGCATCTTCTCACTGTAGTGAAAACATGCATGGCTCCCACTCCAGCCCCCCTCTCTGCCTCTTGTTTTGCAGCCATTCTGGCCACTGGGCACCGGTGTGGCCAGGGGCTTCTTAGCTGCCTTTGACGCTGCCTGGATGGTGAAGAGATGGGCAGCGGGGACCCCTCCCCTGGAGGTGCTAGCTGAGAGGTGAGGAGTCCCTTCCTGTGGGGTGCAGGGGCTGCAGGCAGGTTCCCGGTTGGCGGGGCGCATTTGGTTGGTGCTGTGGAAGAGCTCTCAACCTCCCTGATTCAGGGCACAAGCCGAACTCCAGTTCGGGTGTGTCAGGAGGGAACTGCCCAGGAAACAAGGGATTGGAGAAGTGATGTGCCCAGCATGACAGGGGTGGGTCTTATGCCTACAGGACCCCTGCTGTGACTGTCTGGCAGTCCCGTGCTCCTGCATGCAAGCACAGCCCCTGCTTTGGAGAGCTGTGTGCCTCCCTTTGTTCAGGAGGTAGGAGCTGCCTCATCACGATCAGGTTTTCTGAGGATATTGGAGGGCTCCGTAGATCCATGTGCACCACCTGGGTCCAGCCCCTGCAGGGGAGAGGCCTCTGCGGCACGGCTTGGTCCAGAGAGCTCTGTCTGCAGCCAGCTAATGCTGATGCTTGACTAGGGCCAGTGGTTCCACATTGCTGGCTGGCTGCCTCTGCTGACTGTGCTGCAGCTCAGCGGACCCCCCCCTCCTTCAAGTCCTGGCTCAGGGGTAATGGGCTGCATCACCTTCCCCTTCCAGTTCGTCCTGCGAGGTCCAGCCCCGGTGAGCAGGGCTGGTGGTCTGGGGCCCTGCGTGAACTAGGTGTGGGTCACAGATGAGTTCCAGCTGGGTGCATGGTGTGAGCAACCATCACGGCTGGCGCTGACTGGTGTCTTCCTTGGCCCTTGGCTGAGACCGCCAGTGACTAAGAGCCCCCTGAGGACGGGGCACCTCTCACGGCTCCAGGAGGGTCCCTCCTCAAGCATGGGGGAGGCCTGCCCTGTTGCGGTGGACAAATAGGGGCTCGGGCCTCCTGGGCTTTCAGTCTGGTGGTACCTTTCACCAGCACTAATTCCACACCCCAAGTCCACGGACTGTCAGGAAGTGTCCCCTGCCTGTGGTGACACCATCACAGCTGTGGGATCTGCCTGGACCATCTCATGAACCCTTTCTGTCCCTGTCTAACCCACACAGTTTCCCCTGTACAGGGAAAGCATATACCAGCACCTGTCCCAGACATCCCCCGACAACACCAACAAGAACACCAGCCAGTACAGCATCGACCCTACCACGCGCTACCCCAACATCAATCTCAACTCCATAAAGCCCAACCAGGTAACTCAGTCACACCCCACCAGGGCTCTAGGCTGGTGGTGGGATGAGCAGTGGTCCTTGTTCCTAAAGCTGTTTCTACCTACCCGCTGGACTCGTGACCTCCACAGGGGGGTCATGTTGATGGTGGTGTTCTTAGCCAACGTGACGGGCACCTGTCATCCTGGGGGCCAAGCACTGAGTGATATGAGTTTGCAAGATCTCTGCTCCAAATTGTAGGATCCCCCACGCCGTGCTGATTCCCCACAGCTCCAGCCCCTGCTCTCGGGATGGTAGAGGAGGGCTGGGGAGTTCTCGCAGCTCTCAAGCAGGAGGGTAACTCAGGAAAGGACTGCTCAGCCCCCCGTTTTATCCCCTGTGCTCCTGACTGTGGAGGAAGAAGCAGGGAGCCGCACAGTTCCTGCGTCGCTGGCTCCTCGCAAAGGGAGTGCGGGGGTGGCTGCAGGCCTTGCATGCAGGATATGGGCTCCTTGTGTGAGAGCTTCCCCTCTGCTGAGGTTTCAGCCTCCCTTCCCTGAGAGCTCAGTCCCCTTCTTCTGTGGCTGCCTTGCTGCTGCAGCCTCAGTAGCCCACAGCCTGGGTGTTTCTGTGCGCAGGTGCGTGACCAGTACCTCATGGGGTTGGTGGAGCACGATCATAAGAAGAGCGACAATCGCATCAGCACAGGCAAGTCCAGATGTTTCTGCCCTGGTACCACCCCTCTCTGCCTTGAGCCGCAGCAGCATCTGGAAGCTTTCCCCTCCTCCCGGTGTCTGTACTGAGCCTCTGCCTCGCATTGCCCACTTCAGACCCCCCTCTCTGGTTTCCACCCTGTCGCTGACCTCCTCATTACTGTCTCCTTGTGCCTGCTTGGACCCCAGCAGCTGGTGCTCAGGACCATCCATGCCTACAGGGCGCGTGCCCCTTTGACCAGGTGGAGGAGGACAGGGGATCCCTGAGCCAGTCTGGCCCTCCCTGCATCCCCTTTCTTTCCTGCTCTTCTCCCGGGAGATCAGAGTCGTATTAGCCCCCTTTAAATCCTGATCTCCCTGCCCTGCCAGGGGATGCTGATGCTATTGTCAGATTAACAATATTGTGCTCAGGGGCTCACAGGCTGTGGATTGGGCAGGGTTGGGCCCAGGGGGTCTGCAGCTGAAATCAGGCAGGGGCACATCAGGGAGTGAATGGGTCAGCGGGAATTGGGCAGCCCCATAACAGACCAGGAACAGGAGGATGCAGGGAGGAGTGAGTGTTGTTAGGTGGGGGCTGGCTCCCTGAGCAGCACAGGGGTCCCAGGAAGTGAGTGAGAGGCAAGATCTTCCAGCGCTGCCTGGGGGCAGGGGTTAGTCCTACTTAGGTAGCTGAATCCCCATGGCTAGGGGTGTATATAGTCCTGTTATGCCTGGGAACCCCATTGCAGCCTCACGGCCCCCTGTGCCAGGGTATGTACAGATAATTGACAGAGAGGGCAGTCCCTGCCTTGGCAAGCTCACGATCTGGCTGTCTGATAGGGTGGGACTGCTGGACGATATGCTTAGAGCCCGCATTTAATGCTGTCCATCCCAAATGCTCCCCATGACATTAGTTCACGTGTTCTTGGCTTCTCACGCGTGTTGGCCAGCTGCAGTTTCCACCCTCCAGCACTGGCTGCATGTTTGCGAAGTGATCTCTGCTCGGAGCTTGTTTGGTGCCATGGGTGGTCAGGTCAGAGGAGCCGTGTGCCTTCCAGTTGTTTTAAAATGGTTTGGATAAACTCCACTTCCTCCCTGGTATGACTCTTAGAGGGAAGCTCCTACAAGGAGCCCGTCTTCTGTGGTTCAGGCATCATCACCTGAGCAGCCTGTGAAATATAGAAGCCAGAGGATAGCTCCCTCTCCGGGCTCTGGCTGGGAGGCATATTCCCCTCCCCAGGGGACGGTTTGTTTTGGTGCCTAGCCAGACGGGCTTTTCCTGGGCAGGATTCTGGGCCTGTAGGAAGGCTCCCACTGACTTCGGGGGCACAGGACTGGGTTTCTAATCCAGGGTTGAAACCCGCCCTGGGCCAGGTGAGCTTTCCAGTGCAAGGGGCAGTGAATGAATCTTGTCTTAAGGGCCCAGCTGTTCCTCTTCCCTTGAACCGTGACATCTGCCCACACTTCCCAGCTGGGTACATAAACCCTGGTGACACACCTCTGGTGAACTCATGATGCCTGGCACAACCTCCTTGGCACACAGGGCTGGGCGTGCACCAGTTAAATGTTGATCTCTCTTTTGTGACAGTATTTGGCTTTCAGCCTTCAGCTGAGGCAGCGGGAGAGCCCCGTGTCCGGGTCTGTCTTGGAGCTCCCATGCTGCATGTGCTCGGTGGCACGTGCCCCCTCCTCCCTTCTTTGTCTCCAGGCCCCTGCTCTGCTGCCCTCTCAGCTTTCCCTCTCCCTCCTGCTCTCTTCTGCAGCACACTGGCAACCTTGAGGGCAAAGGGAGGTATGTCGGTGCTGGCAGAGGGAACCCCACTGACACGGGAGAGGGGGCAGCGGGACATAGCGGTCTCGGCTTATTCCCTAGAATCCCCTCGCTGCCCCTCCTTCCTTGGGTTGAGGGCACCGTGCAGGGGGCACCGTGGAAATGTGTCCTGGGCCTTGGCCTGTGGATCGGGGTGGATTTGGGGCACCAGTGGGCTGGCAGGGTAGCTGCAGGAGATGCTGTCTTCTCTGAGAACGATGTGGCCTTGCACTCAGTTCTCGGGCCTGATGACATGACCAACTCGTTGGGTAACGGTGCAGCTGCACTTGGGACCCTGGCAGCTCCCGGCGCTGGTGGTTGCACCGCAGGCCGAAGGCTTGCTTGGAGGTGCTGTGTGTGGGGCTTCTTCTCTGGCTCCGGAGCCTCTGCCCAGCCACCGCCGTGCCCTGACATGCCAGCGCTCCCTCTTTCTGTGTCCCCAGACTCCAGCAGGGGCTACGAGGAGCTGCTGCACTGGTGCCAGGTGCACACAGCCGGCTACCGTGGCGTGGCCGTGGCAGACTTCACGCACTCCTGGAAGAGCGGCCTGGCCCTGTGTGCCCTCATCCATCACTTCCGTCCCGACCTGCTGTAAGTCTCCGGCCTGTCCCAGGGGCTGCAGAGTGGGTGGGTGGGTGACCCAGGCGGTGCTGCCCAGGGGGCTCAGCTCCTCTTAATTTGCTGGTGGAATTGGGGGGGCGGGAGGTGTGTTACAGAAGGGAAGGTGATGCCTCCGTCATTGCTGGCCCCTGTTTCCAGTTCACTGATTCCTCCCTTTTCCCATTAGACCCTGGCTGCCCTGTCCACACAACATCAGACCCATTCACTTGAACCCCACAGGCCAAGGACTGATGCAGTCTCTTGGCCTGACCACTGCTGACAGCACAAAGCTGATGCCCTGTGTCTGTCCCTAGAGATTTCGACTCCCTGGCTCAGAATGACCCCTTTGGGAATAACCAGATGGCCCTGGACCTGGCCGAGCAGGAGCTGGGCATCCCACCTGTCCTCTCCAGCACTGAAATGGCCTCAATGTCTGAGGCTGACCAGCTCGGCCTCATCGCCTACCTGAGCCAGGTCTTCGATGCCTTTGAGGTGCCTCCAGGTGAGAAACCTCTAGGCCCGGGGCTGGGGCACGGCTGGGTCTCCCTGGGCTGCCTTCCTGCCTCCCCCATGGTTGTAACCACAGGCAGCCCCGGCTGTGTTCTCGTCCAGCCTCGGTTGGGGGAGCTGGGTTCGGGGAACGCTGGCTGGGCTCTCTGGGGGCCGGCCCCACGTAACACGCGTGGTGTGGGTTCCCTCTCACAGAACCGGAGGAGCGGGTGAGGAAGCCGCTGGCACCGCGCGGCACCAGGGGAGCCATCCTCTTCCTCAGCAAGCTCCAGAAGAGTCTGAGTCTGACACGCAAGCGCGCCCAGGTAATGGACCCAGGGGGTCTCTGTGTGGCAGGGCCCAGGCCTGCACTTGGCACCTGGTTGCAGCCCATGAGCTGCCCTGTCACGTGGGTACTCCTCCCCGGGGCCAGGCAGCTGGTGCACTTCCCTCCCTGAGCCCCCTCATGGGCAGCGGGGATGTCTGCCCTGCCAGGCAGCACTGAGGGGACAAGGTGGGCAGCACAGTGATGTGGAAGGGAGCTGGCTGATGACACTAAGATGTAGGGGGATGTGGGCACGCTAGAAGGGAGCAATAGGCTGCAATTGGACCCAGACAGGTTACAGGGGTGGGCGGATGAGAACAGGATGGGATTCAACACCGACAAGTGCAAAGTGCTGCATCTGGGGAGGAACAACCGGCACCATACCTACAGGCTGGGGATCTCCCTTCTCATCAGTGCAGAGGCAGAAAAGGATCTTGGAGTCATTATTGATGCCAAGATGAACATGGGCCGGCAGTGTGGGGACACGGTCAGGAAGGCCAACCGCACCTTGTCATGCATCCACAGATGCATCTCGAGCAGGTCCAGGGAGGTGATCCTCCCCCTCTGTGCGGTACCGGTCAGGCCGCAGCTGGAGTACTGCGTCCAGTTCTGGGCGCCGCACTTCAGGAGGGATGTGGACAACATGGAGAGGGTCCAGAGGAGGCCACTCGCATGATCGGGGGCAGCAGGGCAGGCCCTATGAGGAGAGGCTATGGGACCTGAACCTGTTCAGCCTCCACAAGAGAAGGCTGAGGGGGATCTAGTGGCCTGTTACAAACTAGTCAGGGGGGACCAGCAGGCATTGGGGGAGTCCCTGTTCCCCCAAGCACTGCCAGGAGTCACTAGAAATAACGGTCACAAGCTGGCAGAGGGGAGATTCAGGCTAGATATCAGGAGGCACAACTTCACGGTCAGGGCGGCTAGGATCTGGAACCAACTTCCAAGAGAAGTGGTGCTGGCTCCTACCCTGGGGGTCATTAAGACAAGGCTAGATGTACACCTTGCCGGGGTCGTCTGACCCCAGTACTCTTTCCTGCCATGGCAGGGGGTCGGACTCAGTGATCTGTTCAGGTCCCTTCCGACCCTAGAAACTATGAAACTATGGCCTGTCTGCCACAGCCTTGCTCAGCCAGCCCCATCTCTGATTTCAGGACCGCTCCCAGCAGGATGCTGAGACCAAGAAGCCAAAGAAGGAAGCAACGGTGAGTTTAGCTCCCTGAAATGTGCTGTCTGGGGCCAGGCTGGAAGCTGGTGCACTGTGATGCTGCACACAAGACTGGGGTCCTTGGGTGCATCGCTGCAGGGTGTGATGGGGAAAGCAGGCCGCGTCCCTGGGAAGGGAGTGCCTGGTGCTGCTCGGCAGCGCGGGGTCCAAGGTCAGTGGGAGTGGGAACTGGAGGGAATTTGGTTATGGGGGAGTGGGGCACGTGGGGTGCTGAGGAAGGTCCAGGGTAGACTTGAATGGCATTGTGTAGTGAAGGGTGTACCCCTGTCCAGTGCACTGTAGACAGGACGCCCTCTGTGAGTCTTATAATTAGCTTTCCAATGGCCAACTTCCAGTGGGAGGATCTTGGCTACATGCCTACATTATGGAAATGGGGGACTTTTCCCTAGCTTGCTCCTGTGGCCTTTTGTCAAGGGCAAGTGAGACTCGGGGGCATCCGAACCCCAAGCCTCCAGGCATAGGCCTGCACATAGGATGCCTACCAATGGATTTGGGAGTACCTGAAGCCCCAGGCTGAAAAATCTGCGGTGGAGGATACTTGCTGGTTGTAGTGCCGTGTATGGCGCTTGAATGATTGAGTGTTGCTCAATCGAAAGGATTCGAAACTGAATTGGCTAATTTGACTTGGAACACACAAATTTTTCCAAACAAAAGCTGATTCCACATGGAGCCGTGTCTAAGCACAGGCATGTGGTGCAGCCTCAAGGCACTGACCCAAGGCATTGCCTCCCCAGCACATGCCTGGCAAGGTGGCTGTGCGGTGGGTTGGGGTGTATATGGGCTGCTCATGTAGACGCTACCTGCAAACACCGACTGGCAGAGCAGGCCCTGAGCCTCCTGCCCTATGCACCAGCCAAACGTACTGATCCTTGTACCAGCTAGTTGATGGGCTGAAGGAGGAGTCTGCAGTGACTCAGGGCTGAAAATGTTCCTGCGCTCCTGGGCTGAAGGGGCCTGGGCCGCCGTGTCCCTGAGCGGCTCTGTCTGCCAGCTGGGTCCTTCAGCTATTCTCTGCCTGGCCTCGCTGGCACTGTCTCCTCTCATTAGACCTCAGGCGTTTTGCCCAGACAGTGGGCGCACTCAGCCTCAAAGGTGTGGGCGCTGCGTGGACAGCAGGGGGCTGGTACATAATGCCTGATGCTGCAGTATGGGCTCAGCCTCCTCTCATGTCCATGCTGGGGAAGGAGCCATGGTCCTGTTAACTTCTGGTGGGCCAGAATGACGCGCTGAGCTCTCCCCTGTTGGGTTGCTGTTTAGCTGGACTCAAGTTTGGAAGGTGACCCCTCTGTTGTTGACCTTGGCCAGGGGAGTCGTGAGCAGCCTCAAACCCCAGAGACCGAGGTCCCTAAGTCCCCCACGGTGCAGAGGCAAGTCAGTCTCTGCTTCTTGCAAAGCAGCAAGGGCAACTGGGCAGACTGCTTTTGGCTCAAAGGTCTCCTGCGTTTTCTATAGGTGATGGGGAGGGTGTTGCAAGGGAAAGCCCAGTCTACTTAACAGGGACTGCCTGGCCTGAGGGTGAGGAGGGCGAAGCAAGGGGTTGCCCCCTGGCTTTGGATCTAGGCTGAGCTGGGAGTGGCTGAAGCATTCAGGAGAGCAGAGCCTAGTGTTTACACTCTTGTGTGCAAGGGACAGCCCTGGGGAGGGGCTATGGCATTTTCTTACCCCATCAGCCCTCTTGTGCCAGGCTCTGCCATGCATCCTTGGGCATCCCTTGCCTGCCTTAGCCTCTGACAGCCCCATGTGGGCCCTGGAGAGGAGCCAGCTCCCAAACGGAGCAGCCCAGACAGGTGTGGGATCAGCTGTCTGCCAGGGCCTGGCACTTCAGCCAGCAGGTAGTGCCCAGCCCTGGGGCCAGCCCTCTCAGCTGAGGCTATGTGGTCTCCTCTGCAGAGCTCGGCCGCATCCCCCGCAGAGAGCAGTGATGCCTGCTACTTCTGCGGTCAGCGGGTGTACATCCTGGAGAGGGTCAGCGCCGAGGGGCGCTTCTTCCACCGAGGCTGCTTCCAGTGCTGGCGCTGTGGTGCCACGCTGCGCCTGGGCGACTTTGCCTTCAGTGAGGAGGATGGTGAGTCTGGGGCTGAGGGTGGTGGCAGGGGACTGCCTTAAGAAGGTACTGGCCAGGTGTAGGCTTGTGCCAGGGTCCTGAGCCCTTCTCTCCTGTTGTGCATTGTGCCAACTGGCTGTTCTCCCCCACCCCAAGGAGGTTGCTGGGCTGTTTGTCGTGGGCTGGTGTGATGGCCTCGCACAGCCCCTGCAACAAACAGTGCTCCCCTTCAAACTGCGGTGCACGTCTGGGAGGTAGGATGGTGTGTCAGCGCCCCCCACTTGCCAGTTCGCTGTCTGCAGTTTCCGTGATCGGCTCTAGCATCTCCCACACTTCACTGGCTCACTGCGACGGAGCGTGAGCAAATCCCTATAGGACAGCCTTGGCACCAGTGCTGCCCCGGTGGGAAGAAATGGTGCTGGCTGTGGCCAGCTAGAGCGGAGGCCAGCGAGACCTCTCCAGACCAGAGACCAGTAAGAAGCGCAGGGTCTCAGTCCCGCTTCCACTGCACTTACAACCTTTTTTCAAGGAACAGGGTCAGCTTAAAACCTTGTGGTTAGCCAATGCCGATTTTACTAGGAGCACACTGAGCTACTAGAGGAGGGTGGGGGCTTAGAAGTGCATTTTACCTGCCCCGATTCCTGCTGAAGGGGTTTTCCCTTTATTTCCCTTTTTTTGAGTTTTGGGCACACCCCACACCAGTTTCCTCTGTGTGTTGGCCAGTTTTGCCACCAGGCTTTCCTTCCTGGGAGATACGGGCAGGTGGAGGTCCTCAGGGGAAAGTTTTTGTTCGACTGGTGTCGCTACTGGCCTCTACTGGGGATCTCTTGAGCCACCTTTTTACAGAAGCAGGGCGCTGGCTGCTGTGGTTCCCTTGCTTTACCTGTGGCAGGTTTGGGTGTGATGCCTTGCGCTGTGTCAGGGCTGACAGTAATTTTACAAAGAGGTTAAATTATGGATTTTAGACAGGAGGGTTTAGACAGGACTGACCCTGCCTCAGGCAGGGGATGGACTAGATGTAACCTCTGGAGGTCTTTTCCAGCCCCACTTCTCTAGGATTGAATGAACAAAGAAACAGCCCCCGCCTTACGGGAACATCTGTGCTGCCCTCCAGGCTCAGGAAAGCTGCGTGGGGTTGATGTGCTCATTATCAGAGCGCCAGGCGAGCAAATTGTTTCCTTCCATAAAGCCTGAGAAAAGATTCCAGAAAAGCAAAGGTGGCAGTTGGCAGCATCGGCTTTGCTGGCCTGCTCTGGGCTTGGAGATGCAGCAAGTAGCCACCTTCCCATTTGATAAGTCACTTGGGTTTGCTTGACCTGGCTCAGCCCCTGGGGCCTTTTTCCATCACTTTGTCATGGACCTGAGACAGGGAGGCAGTGGCTGCATTTCTCTCGGCTTGTCTCTTCCTTTCATATGAGATCACCCAGTTCAGCTCCTGGCTCCAGGCAGGTGCATCCTCATCCAAGCTGTCCAATACTAGTGCTTGTCAAACCAATCAGCCCGATCACATGCCTACGAGGCACATAGCCTGAGGACACCAAGAACACCTGAACCTGCTGCAGGTAAAGCAGAGGGGTGGACGAGGGCACTGGCTGTGTCCTGCCTGCAAGGCTGATTAATACACGTGAGAGATGCAAGAAAGAGGGGTGTGCCTCTGCAGCAGAGGAAGGCAAACCCCCCCTTGTCTGCACCAGTCTGACTTTTCTGACCCCAGATAAGGCGATCAGTCTGACCCAGAGACGAAAGGCAAGAGCCTAGGAAAGGCAAGAACCTAGCCAGTGGCCTACAGGAGCGTTGGCACAGTCTGGTCAAAGCCCGTGGCCTTGCTTGCAGCCAGCACACAACCCTTCAGGCGGTGTGTTGTTGCAGCCAGTGGTCCTGACCTAGCTCAGCTGGAGTTCTGCCGTAGTCTTGGAGCTGTCTGCTGAGTGATGGGGCAGCTCATGACACTGTCTGCTTTATGTCCTCAGGACACTTCTACTGCCTGCTGCACTACAACCCCCACAGCCTGGACGTGCCACCACCCATGGTAAGTAGGCCCCCACTTCTGGAGCTGAGCTGAGGGCTACCCGGGCCCATCCCAGCAGATACAGCTGTGCCTGGGAACCGAAGTCTGGGGCTCCCCAGGAACCAGCCAGTGAGGTCCCCTGCGGCTGTCTCCCAGCCATCGGCAGACAGCTACATCCGCTCATAGCGATAACTCACTGGGAAGGCTAATGGTCTGCATTTGGTTCCTGCTAGGATCCGTCCCGGAGCATCCAACACCGTGCTGCCTTGGACCCTGGCAGCCCGGGCTTGGCCTCCGAGGGAGCAAGAATGGAAACAGATTCTGATCTGCCAGGTCCTCCAGGCAGCCCGGGCTCCCTCTCAAATCAAGTGACAGCAGATCACCCTCCAGAGCCATGGGAAGGGGCTGGAGAAGACCAGGTAGCCATCAGCCCCTATGGTGAGAATGGGACTTTGATCAGTGTGGATGAGCAGGAAGCGCAAGAGATCCTGGAGGAGATTGCAGGGGACGCCATGCCCTCTGGGGTAGGAGCTGGGGTCCTGCCAGCGGAGCCTGGGCCTGGGTTAGGAGACAGCAGACCTCACCGTGAGGAACAAGGCATCCACGAACACAGCCACCCGGGGATGCCGCTGCAGCCCGCCACTCCAGAGCCTCTGCCTTTGGAAAAGGTGCCTGTGCCTCCAGAGTCCAGGGAGGACACAGAATGGGAGGACAACACTGGGAAAAAGAAGAAGATTTTCTTGTCAGATCTGGAGAAGCTCAGACTGGCCACGCTGAACCTGACTTCAGACGGTGAGGCAGAGATCCAGGGGGAGCCCCAGCCACCGCAGCCCAGGCCGGGGCACAAAGCGGTGCCCTTCCGGAGTGTCCCAGACAGGGGGAAGGTCGGCTTGGGCCAGCACAGGTTCTCCGAGGAGGAGGAGGAGGAAGGTAATCGCAGGCTGAGTCTCTAGGCCTGATGCAGCTCAGTTGCCGGGTGCTGCTGTGAACTCCCTTCCCGGTATCCAGTATCGTGGGCGGGGTGGCTTTCCCTGCCAAACGGCCCTCTGGGGCAGGCAGACAGAGCAGCAAAGGCTGGGCCATCTGTGCCTTCCCAGAAATGTTGCATAAGGCAATGATTCAGGTCATGTCTGAGGAAAGGGATCGGACCACCCCTTCCTCTCCAGGTTCCCGTCCAGCCCAGGTTAGGCACAAGGCAGCTCCCGGTTGGCGTGCAGTGAGGTTGGGGGGTCCAGTTCCCAACAGACGGGTGCTCAGCTCATAAAACCTCCATCCCACTTGGCACTGACTGGCTTCTGAGCTGGCAGCCTTGGGCTGGGACCAGCTTGGCTGACTGAATCCCCAAATGGGAGCAGCCCCCCAGCTCCCAAGAACCAGCTGCGGGGGCCAGGCCTAAATGCTGCTTCTCTGGACAGACTTGCAGGAGACTGACAGCGATGAGGAGGAGGAGGAGGAGGTGGCGGCCGCGGCGAGTGAGGATGCTGTGTACTTAGCAGACGTGAGTTTGAAGCTGGTTATAACGAAGTGCTCCTTGTTCCCTGCAGCTACAACTGTCCCTCTCCATCTACCTCTCTGCTCTGCTTTCTCCATCTTCCTCCTCCTCTCTAATTAGACGCTCAGCTCTATGGCTGGGGCCTGGCCACTCGCCTGTTAAATGAGCATTTCCTTATTGGCTTTAAAGTCCTTTATCAGGCTTGAAGACTGTCTCCAGTCTCTCGGGCTCTCCCCTGCCTGCTGTGAGCCCAGTAAGAAACATGGCTTCTTTTGCCCCCTTCCCTTGTGCTTTCCTTCCAGGCCGAGATTCTGGATGTGAAGGAGAAGTATCCCACGTGGAGGAGGACGCTGACCCGTCGCGCCAAGGAGGCCCAGATGAAGAGGTTCTGTAAAGCCCAGGTAATGCCCCTGCCTGGCCCCGTCCAAGGGAGAGGGCTAGGGAGGATTCATAGAAAAGCAGGACCCCAGGAGGTCAGGTAGTCCAGCCCCCAGCTCAAGGCAAGTGCATCCCTCTCCAAGATGTTATACACAAGTGCTCGTCTAACCTATTCCTTACACTCCGCAAAGAGCCCTGTCCCGCACCTGCAAGGCACGTAGCCCGAGAGCACCCGCACCTGTCACCAGCAAAGCAGGGGGACAATGGCACGTGCCACTGTAAGGCTCTTAAATATACTGGGGATGAAAGGAAGAGGACCATGTTCCCCTTCACTACAGAGCAAAACCCCTACAGGACAGACCAGTCCGACTGTGGGGTAAAATTCCTTCCTCCCCCTGATGTGGCGATTGGCCTGACCCTGACCAGGAAGCCCCTCTACGCAGGCTCCTCCAGGTTTCAGTCCCAGGCAGAACACGGGCACATGCCAAAGTCCCCTGGTTTGGCTGTAGCCCACACCCAGTGCCTCTGAGTAAGGTGAAACAAGATAAACCCTGGCACATGTAGCAACAGGAGGGGACAGAAGCCCTTCCTGGCCCGATGGGGCAACCAGCAAATTACAGAAGCGTGGAAAAACCCACACACACATTACGTTGTTTTGTAGCTTGGTGACAGCAAACTGCACACATCAGGCCCCTTTCTATTAGCATTTCTCCTCCATAAAGGTATCCTGGCCCCTTTACTCTCCTTTGGCAATGCAGCAGGCTGTGGAGCCTAGTTCTCCTGCTGTCCTCTCCAGCAGGTGTCAGACGCAGGCCAGGGGAGCACCCAGTGCCATCCCAGTCACAGCCTCCCGAGCCCATTATGCTGCCGTGGATTTGTCCCGTCTGTCCTGCTCTGTTCTTGCCAGTGGAGACAGCCAGGATCTCAGATGTGGCTGCATGAGAACAGACCAGTGGCCCGTCTAGGCTTGCTCTTGACCTGGTGGCTGCTGCAATTGGGGGGTTGTATTGTAAGGACAGGAATCCTTGCTCCAGAGCTGCCTGGTGGGATCAGAGGAGATGTGGCTGTAACGGAGAACTTGGCTTGATAAAACTAATGGGGTGCTCAGGGTACAAGCTGGTGGTGTGGAGGTGGCTCCAGGGGCTGGAAGAGGTGATGCTGCAGGCAGGTCTGCCTTCAGTCCGTGGCCGTGTGTGGCCGTGATCCAACACAGGGCAGGGCATCCTGCCAGGAAGCTCACAGGAGCTTTGCTGCAGACCCTGGATGGGGAGCAGCAGTCCCCTGGGCTCAGAGGTCCCCCCGCAGCCAGTGCAAGGCTCTGCCTCCCAATGCAGGGCGGGGGAGGGTGTCCCACAGTGGGGGCTGCGCTGGCTGCTGTACAGCCCCTTGCGAAGGCCCTGCGGGTATTTGGATGGCAGAAACGGCCTCCTCGGCATAGCATTGTGACCCCTATACGAGGACAGCAGGCCCAGGGGCGTTGGCCCCAATGGCAGCCTGGCCTGTGGCCCTTTGCCATCTGGGGCCCTGGAGGCAGCTCGACCTTGGTCTGAACCAGGCCCCGGGGAGGGTATTTGGGCAGGTGGCCTTCCCTGGGTGCCCACATATCCACACTCTGCAGGACACGGCTCTTCAGCTCCCAGAGGGCAGCCCGAGGCTGCAGCTGCCCCCCAAGCCCAAGTCTCACTGATAACCTGGGGGCTGGGGCATGGTGCTGCAAAGTACGGGCTGGGGGCTGGAGGCCTCTGAGCCCCTCTTCTCTGCACCCCCTTGGCTCAGCTCACGCAGAAGCTGGGACCCTGCAGTGCTCCCTGCTGCACAGCCAGAGAAAACTGGTCCCCGCAGCCCAGGGGCATGTGCCGCGCAGCTTTGCTTTGTCCAGGCAGCTCTTATGGCCGCAAATAAAGGCAGACCACCCGGCCTCTGGCCCAACATCTCTGGACTCAAGCATGGGCGGCTGGAACAAGTCCTCTCCGGCACTGCAAATATGATGGCCCTTGGCCTACGGTGGCTGCGCAAGCACCGCTGGGGAAAGCAAGAGTGAAAGCTGGGGCAAAGTCAAAGCCATGGGCCCTGCCTGAAAGCACGGGGCCTTGACCGGCAGGCTGCGCAGCAGGCAGGGACCGTTGCCTTCCTGGGGCTCCCCTTGTCATGGAGCCAGTGCGTGTCCACAGGGAAGGAGTCAAGGGGCCCAGAAGTGAAGTGCTGATTCAGCCAGGCCCTGTGGTGCACAGTGCAGAGCCTCCCTGTGTAGGTGCTGAGGTCCTGGGTTCAGGTCCTGGCCTCTCCCTGTTTTGTGGGGAGGTGCCGTCCTCTTTCAATGGAGGGGGCTGGCTGCTGCGCCTCAAGGGGTCTACGGCAGGTGAGCCTCTTAGCTCTCCCTGGTACTGCAGTGGTATGGTTGCCACCTTCACTGGTAAAGGTTGTGGGTTCAAGTCAGGTTAGAGCCCTCCTACTCCTTGGTGGGTGCCTGAGTCTCAGTGCACCCAGGTGGGCTGTGTGGGCAGGGGTGGGAGGTGAAGTGTGAACCCCAGGAAAGTCTTTTGAACATCAGGGTTTTTCCCCCTTTGCTGCTGCTGCACCGCAAACCCCCCCTCCCCAGCCATCACACCTCTGTCTTCCTTCACATATTCCTGGAATAGTTCCCTCCCCACCCAGATAGCAGAAATAACCATTATTCCTAGTGATGAACGTTCATACTGGGAGACATTTTTCATCTGGATGGGAGAGAAGAATTAAAATGGCCTCTCCACAGCTTCTTGATGGTCACATGACTGGTGTCAAGGAAGGACCTTGCTCCATCCTTGGAATCGGCACTTCCCTCCTCGTGTTCACCAGGTCATGATAGGCCAAATGTCTCCTAATTAGGTGAAAGTTCACAGCCAACATTTTTGGGAAACCAGGGGGTCACAGAGAGTTCAACTTGGGGTCACGAGAGTTCAACTTGGGGTCACAAGAGGTCAAATCCCCCCCCCCCAATTAGGTGAAGGGTCACCAACTTATTTTTTTTGGGAAACCTGGGGTCACACAGAGGTCAACTTGGGGTCGTGAGAGTTCACCTTGGGGTCACGAGAGGCCAAATCCCCCCACTAATTAGGTGAAAGGTCACCAACTTATTTTTTGGGAAACCTGGGGTCACAGAGAGGTCAACTTGGGGGTTGCGAGAGTTCAACGTGGGGTCACAGGAGTTCAACTTGGGGTCACGAGAGGTCAGATCC